GAGAAGGCGAGGCTGGTCGTGAAAGGCTTCACGCAGGTGTATGGCGCCGACTACGACGAGACGTACGCGCCGGTGGGCAGCTACGTCACGCTGAGGATCTTCCTCAGCATCGTCGCCTTCCTCAACCTCAACCTGATGCAGCTCGACATGAAGAACGCCTTCCTGCAGAGCAAGCTCGACCGGGTGCTATACATGTCCCAGCCGGACTTCTTCAACGACGGAACCGTCCGGGTGTGCAAGCTGCTGAAGAGCCTGTACGGGCTGAAGCAGTCGCCGCTGCTGTGGTACTTGACACTCAAGGACGTGCTGGTCGGCGCCGGGTGGAAGAAGAGCCAGGTCGACGAGGCGCTGTACTTTAAGGTCGGTGACGACGGAGTGGCCTGCTGGGTGCTGGTCTACGTCGACGACCTGCTCGCCGCCAGCAGCAGCACCGAGATGTTGAAGGAGCTAAAGCAGCTGCTGGATTCCGCCTTCGAGCTGCGTGAGATCTCGCCGGTGCAGAAGTACCTCGGGCTGGAGATCGTCCGCGATAGGTCGGCGGGGAAGCTGTGGTTGCACCAGTAGGGCTACGCCGACAAGCTGCGTAGGCGCTTCATCAACGAGGAGCAGACCGGGCGCACCCCGAAGACGCCGGTCTCGGTCGACGCCTACGCCGAGCTCACCTTCGACGACGAGGAGGCACAGGAGCGACAGGAGGAGGAGTACTTGCAGAAGGTCAGCTCGCTGCAGTTCGCGGCGACGACGACGAGGCCGGACATCGCCTTCGCCTGCAGCAAGCTGGGGAGCGGCCTCACGGTGAGGAGCGACCAGCACTGGCGCGAGGTCGACCGCTGCCTCGCCTACCTCGCCAACACACGTGACACCGCCCTGGAGTTCGGCGGTGGACCTGAGTCGCTGGAGCTGGTCGGCTATGTGGACGCCGACGACGCAAGTGACAAGCAGAACAGGACGAGCATGGGCGGCTACATGTTCGTCTACGGAGGGGCCGCAGTCTCCTGGTCGAGCCAGCGCATCAAGTGCGCGACGTTTTCGTCGACCGAGTCGGAGCACGTGGCGGCCACCGAAGCCGGCAAAGAGGGATGCCGACTTTGCTTCCTCCTCGCAGAGTTCCGGTAGCTGGATGCCGGGGAGCCGACCATCCTTCGGATGGGCAACAAGTCGGCACATGCTCGTCGCGGGCATGGGATTGACGGGCAACCTCAAGCACATGGAGCGGCGACAGGCCTGGCTGCAGCACATGGTGAGGCGCGGGGAGTTCTCACTGAGGTACATCCCGACCACCGAGCAGCCGGCCGACTTCCTGACGAAGGCGCTGCACTATCCGGCTTTCAACCGGTGCTCCGTCGCCATCGGCCAGGTGCGCTTGGCCGACGTGGGCGACGAAGATGACGACGTGTAGCAGTAGGTGCCATGCCCTCTTGCATGGCTGGTGCGGTGGACGACGTGCTGTGTGTTGGGTGCACGTCGACGAGCTATTCTCCGAGCAGTGCTGCTGTATGGGCTGGAGGCCCAAGCGTGAACGCGGTAGGGGAGTGTCAACATGAATTGTCAGAATGAACAAGGGTGATTGCAGTAGGAAAGAGTTGGGTACAAGTAGGAAACCCTAAACTTACAGTACCCCATAGTAACTACCCCACTACAGCCTAAACAAACTGTAGTAGACATAACATTTGACACACCCCCATAGGCAAAATGGGGGAGAGCAAAGGGTCACAAGACCAGTCAAGAAAGGCAAAGCAAGCTCAGGGTGGATCACAACGACACCACACACTCTGAGCACAAGCAAAGGGCCACAAGGCCAGTCCACATGCAGAGGCATATATGCAACACAAACAGCACAGTGATCTCTACCTAGCAAAGCAAGCATGCAGGTATGTATATATATATATATATCACAGTACAAGCAAAGCCTACAGCAAGTGAGGAAAAGTGGGCACAAGCCCTAGCATAGTGCAGAAACGCTGATGATCACCAGACTGAAGTGCCTTGGTGAATATATCAGCAGTGTTGGCCCGAGTGGCCACGTACCGCAGACGAAGCTAACCACGCTGCTGCAACTCTCGAGCCAGGAAGTAACGCAGAGCGATGTGCTTCGTTCTGTGCTCCAGTCTGTGCTCCTCACACAAAGCAATGGTAGCCTTGTTGTCGACGTACAGCACTGGAGGAGAACGAGGCCGCTCTCCCAAGTCAGTCAGCAGGTAGGTGAGCCAGCATAACTCCTGTGCAGCCATGGCTGTGGCGTAGATCTCAACCTCACAACTGGAGCTGAGAACTGAAGACGAACGTGTAGAACGCCAAGAAACTGAACCAGAGCCAAGGCTGAAGGTGTAACCCTGTGACGACCGCTGCATAGCCTGGTCGTCAACCCAAGAAGCGTCTGAGTGCCCAGTGAGGACAACTGAGCTCCTCCCTCCAAGCACGAGTCCCATGCCTGATGTACTGCACAAGTAGCGCAGTACCCTCTTAGCAGCATCCATGTGCACCTTTCGGTGCCGACCAGGAGCCACGTAGCGAGCCAGAAGGCCAAGAGGGTACGCGAGGTCAGGACGAGTGCAAGTCATCAGGTACATGAGACAGCCAACTAGCTCTGGGTAAGGACCACTCGGCTCTACGGACTCGTCCGAAGGTGGAGCTGAGAGCGAGTGACCTGTAGCCAGAGGAGTGGCCTGTGCCGAGGACCAGGTGAAGCCGAAGCGCTGAAGGACCTGCTGCACCATGTGTGACTGAGTCAGTGTGATGGTGCGGCGTGCTCTGTCCCGGGTGATCTGCAAGCCAAGGTAGCTGCGCAGTTCACCCAGGTCTGTGCACGTGTGTCTCTTCTGCAGCTCCGACTTCACGTGGGCGAGTGCCTCAGTGTCAGCAGTGGCAAAGACCAAGTCATCGACGTACACGAGGATGTAGAACGGCGGCAGCGAAGTGTCGGTGCGCAGAAACAGCGACGGGTCAGCAGTAGAAGGCGCGAACCCAAGAGCCGCAAGTGTAGTCCTCAGTGTGTCGTGCCACTCACGTGGCGCCTGGCGGAGACCGTAGACCGGCCGCCGGAGGCTCCACTGGGTACCAGGAGGGAACAACCCAGTGAAGCCAGGAGGGCGGCGCAGCCAGATCTCCTCGTGCAGGCTGCCCTGCAAGAAAGCTGTGCTGAAGTCAAGAGAGTGAAGCTCGTAGTCACGCTGAGCGGCAACGTGCAGTAGCACCCGAAGAGTGGTCATCTTCGGGGTGGGGGAGAAGGTCTGGAAGAAGTCTACTCCCTCTCGCTGACTGAAGCCTCGAGCAACGTAACAAGCCTTGAAGACAGGCGGAGAACCGGGCGGCCGCTTCACCCTGAAAATCCACATGCCACTGACGATGTTCGCCCCAGGAGGGGAACCAGCTAGAAATTCCGCTAAATGCCAGAATCATCCACGTCTCTGTTATCTCTTTGTGAAACTCCAGCGTTTCGCAGACATCAGCATCAATCGTGCTTGTTGCGCTCGGTTCGTGCACATCATCTGCGCATTGATGCTGCGGAAAATTCTACACCGATTGGTGATCAGTCGCATTCACTAACTGTGCACAGAAAAATGACAAAAATCTTACTGTAGCATGGTTACAAAACAGTAAACAAGGTAACCGATCCGCACATTGATCGCAAATGATGATCGATCGTCTACTTTTACCGCGTCCTAACAAACCAGTAAGGAGAAAGGAATATTTTCCTTACATTTGGTGCTGGAGGTGACACGTCATGAAACTGTCCAGATTTGGACTGAGGGCGTTGACCGTGAACAATGTCAACGCGCCAGTCTGTCAGTCGGTCCGTAGTGCCGCGTGCGGAGGCAGGAGTGCGTGTCCAACCAATCCAAACTTTGAATGGTGTTTGCCTAGGGCAGGGACGGCCTTGGGTCACTGATTTCTTCCCCTCTCGGTTCAACCCAAACCAACCCTAACTCCCCAAATTCACGCGATGCGTGCGGCAGTTCGGCTGGGCTGCTCTGTGCTGCAAAGCCTCTGCCCATTTGTTCCGTCCCTTTCCCAACCACCGCCCCGTCGAGTTCCCAACTTCCTTCCCATGAGGGTTTGCAAATTGCACCTCGGTAGACCTGCCTGCTGCCTAGCAGCCATACTTCAAACAAATATGGTTTCCAAAAGGCTCAGATTTCGAAGTTCAGAGAGGTTCAGAAACTCTTTGGTACATTTTAAAACCAGGGTCTCAAGTAAGAGATTATGCCATCAACTGCAAAACATTTGAGACCTTGTTTTTCTAGGCGAGGCGGACTGGTTGGCTAGGGAAGTTGGCGTGCGACACTCCCCCACTTTTGCCTCAGCACCAATTGCAAAACAAATTTCAGGTACATGAGACTTTCGACAACTCTTGACATTTCACTGGCACTCTAGCTTCGGCTCCGAACCTGTTTCCATACCTAGAAGGTTTGGAACACAGCAAACGATTTTGTTTCCTTCGCATCCCTCGCTGCACCCCGTTTCGTTTTTCCAACCTCGTCAACCAATGGGAAACGGGGTTTCCCATCAACTGCAAAACAAATGATCTACGTGAGACCCTGGTTTTAAAGCGACGGTGCACATTTGCCACCCAAAACCCAGAACCCTGGCGAACTGTTACTGCGGATGGAAAGTGTCCGCACGAAATCCTGGTTTTCGCCAGCCAGCACTTTCGCGCTGGCAAGCCTGGTTCAAAAAAAAAACTTCTGAACCCAACACTGCCAAAAGTTGCCCGTCGCTTTAATGTGATACAAGCGTGGTGCTGTGTGGTTAGGGTTCGAGCAAGATTGATCCTAGCCGGTTCCCGCCTGAACACTTAGCTTGAACTCGGTCTTGAACTCGGGTCGAGCTTGGCATTTCCCTAGCTTGTAAGGGTGGTAAGATACAAGACAGGGATGGGGATTTATGATTGAAATCGCAGAAGTTAGAATCATTCCCTACTGCCGCGCGATGCTGCCGCAAGTTTCGCTCCGTCTCCCCTTTCCGCACATTCGCTGCCCGCTCTCGCGGCACTTCTCTCCATGCCACACGGGAACTGGCCTCTTAATGGGTCACTCTGTAGCGAGTCACTCACTGCGATTCTGCTTATCGGCACGAATCTTAATCATGCCTCCAACTGGCTGGCTCCACGTGGCATCACGAGTCCATGTCGCCTCTTCGGCGTTCTTCCCCTTCTAGTGGTAACCGCGCAGTTCCTCTCGCTCATCGCCGTCGCCAACGCTACCGTGCCGACATGCGCCAGCCTCGCCGCTCAAGGTATCGATTCTTCGACCCTTCAAAATGCAGTCGCGCAGTAATACGATGAGAAAACCGCCGCGAAATATGATTTTCGCCATTTCTTACCGCAACTCTCCCAACACTTCCCAACCAACTCGGTTCCACAAGCAGCAGTGAACGGCGGCCTTTACCGCCTTCTGCGGCGAGCGGCGGTCACCGCATCTTCGCGTCTCTTCCGCCTTCCATTGCCGCCAGCCTTCCGCCGCTACGCCTTCCTTTCCCGCTCCGCTCTAAACCCCCGCCCAGCACCAGCGGCTCTGCTGCACTAGTACCCTCCGCCCAGCTTACTCCCGGCCTACTGCTGCACTAACCCGCTCCATTTCCTCCCTCCCTCCGGCCCCCTTTCCCCCGGCCCAATTGCTCCTCCCCACGTTCTCTGTCAGATAAATTTGTCACCTCTCCCAAATTGTTCGTTCGTTGATTGTCCCGACCCGATCCCAGGGTTGCACTTTGATTCCTCGTCACATTTCCCGCTCCCCTTATTAATTCCCCTCCATCATCCCTCCTCCCCTCCCCCGCCCCCCCACACACCCCCCGGCCCTTCCGCCTCCTTCCCCACCCACCGCCCCCCAGCTCCCTCCTTGAACCTCCTGCGCAATGCGGGCTTCGAGGAAGCTTCCATTGCAGCGGACTGGCCATCGCCCCTGTCGGCCTGGGTGCCGCTCGTCCCCGGCGCAGCAGCGCAGCAGGGGCAGGTGGCGGGGGTGGTACAGGGGGAGGGGGGAGGGGGCGGGGAGCTTCCGCCCGGGGACCTGTCCGTGGCTGCTGAGGGCGGTCGGTTCGTGCGCCTGCAGCCCAGCGACGGCTGTGGCGGCACCGGTGGCGAGCTTTGGGGCAGCGGGGCGAGCGAGAGGGAAGGGGCCGTGTGGCCCGTGCAGGGACTGGGGCAGCTGCTGTGTATAGCGGAAGGCGGAGAGCAGCAGCAGCAGCAGCAGGGGGAGTTTTCGCTGTATTTCTATGCAAGGGCACGCGAGTGCGTGATGGACATGTTGCCTGTCTCTGGATTGCGGCCCATGCGAGCCATGATCGTCGCCGTGCCCCTGTCAACCACGGCCGGCAGCACTGGCAGCAGCGTGGACGAAGCCGAGCTGGCGAGGGCGTTAGCAGGCGCTATGAGCAGCGGAGCAGCAGACATGATGGTGCTGCATGAGTGGACCGTGGGCGTTCCCTGCCGTAACAACTCCTACTCGCTCTCGGGCCTCATGCCCTGGCGCCAGCACGGACCCTACTCCTTCCACCTCCCTCCCTCCCCCGCCTCCGCCGCTGCTCTATCCTTCCCGGCGCAAGGCGTGGCGCTGCACCTGGTGCTGCTGGAGGGCAGTGCGGCGGACAGCAGCTCCACGCCCTCTGCTGCCACTGTGGAACTGCCTGTTCTCGCTCCCTTACCTCCGATCGTGCCTGGGGGTGCGTCTGTAGCATCAGCAGCAGCGGTGGAAGGCGGGGAGCTCACGTCAGCGGCAGCGGCAGCGGGGAACATCGATGTGGATCTGATCACGGTCGCTCCCAGAGGCACAGGTGCGCTCACAGTGATCCGCTTTTTGGGATCACTGGTGTGCTTCTTGGGATCACACGTGCTCACTCCACTCACAACAGGTCGGTTGAAGTGGCAGCAGGAGCTCCAATGGCAGCAGCAGCCTGCCACATCAGCACAGCCTGGCAGTGGAGTTTGACACGTCATCAACTCGTCTGTTTTTGGACCCAACGATGCACCACGTGGGGATCAACATGGACTACAGCATGACGTCAGCAGGCCATGCGTCCGTGCACCCCGCGGGTATTCCCTCGCTGGCTGCGAACCAGACGCTGCATGCGTGGGTGGCCTACAACGCCACCGCCTCGCTGCTCTCCGTGCTCCTCTCCTCCTCGCCCGCCATGCCCCCCTCCGCCCTCCTCTCCCTCCCCTTCAACGCCTGTGATCTCTTTCACTCTGCTTCGGAGAACGGCGGGGAGGGGGAGGCGGTGTTGGTGCAAGTGGGGTTTGCAGCGGGCACGGGGCTGCTGCCGCTGCACACTCAGACGCACGACATCCTCTCCTGGTCCTTCCAGGTGGATACCCAAGGTGAGCGGGGGAGTGGCAGGCAGGCGGAAGGGCAGTTGCGCGGGGAGGTTTGCAGCTGCACACTCTCCTGGGCCTTCCACGTCGACAACCACAGTGAGTGGAAGGAGGCGGAGGTGGGGTGGGGCAAGTGGGGGAAGGGTTGGTGTGGTGTGTCACGTGTCATATGTTCTCCTACCCATTCTCTAGGCGTCTCAGAAGTAGTGTGTGGTTCTCCTCTCCTACTACCAGATCCCTCTGCTCATCTGCCCCCTCCCCCTTCGCTTCAACCTTACTCACTCCACTATTTCTTTCCTTCCTCACTTTCTTTCCCCTTGTGCTCCCTGCGCCCCTCCTTCTTCCCCCCCAATTCATCCACTCCGCTTCCCCCTCTCCCAGCGCCGGCTCCTCTACCCCTGTGGCAGCAGCCGTCACTCTCCTTCCCCTTCCTCACGCAAGGCGCGCGCTTCACTGCCTGGGGATCAACTCGCCACACCTTCTCCTCGCTGCAACTCACCCCAGGCAACGACGAGGAGGAGACAGGCGCCGCCTTCTTCCCCCTCCCCCTGCCCCTGCTCTCGCTCCTCCCCCCTCCTCCCCCCCGCAAGGGGAAGAATGGCGGAAAATCTGATGCTTTGGTGTGCAAGGCTCGATCCTTCACCTCGTGGTTTGCGTTTGATCTCGACGGGAGAATGACAAACGGGTTTGGGGTAGTCTTTGTGCTAAGTACTCAACCAGGGCTGGGGCAAGGAGGGACGGACATGGGGTATGGCCGCGACGCGCAAGGGAGGGATGCGAATGGGACGTGGGCAGATGGAGGGAGGAGTGTGGCTGTGATGTTTGATGCCTTTAGCGGCCTTGACCCTAACCATGACGTTAACAAGGATGTGGCGATTCTCTCCGTTCTCACTGACTTTAACGTGACTCAGCGCCTGAATTCTTCGTCTCAGAAGAGATACTCTTCATCCTCGTTATTGTACAGCATGAGGGTGGACTATACGGCTGCCACTAAGACTCTGGAGGCAGTGACTTATAACGGGGCACAGAGGAGGGGGGGTGTGAAGCTGACTCTTGACCTGTGCTCTGTGTTCTATGATGGCAATAGCAGCATTGCAGGAGTGATTCCGGTGTTCGCGGGTTTTAGCAGTGCCAGCACGCTTGCGTCTGTTCAGGCGATCAAAGCTTGGACCTTCCGATTCACAGGTTCGTGTGAAGGGTTGGGTGAGGGTGCCACGCGTGTGTGTGTGAATGTGTGCTGGGCATCTGTGTATGTGCACGGTCCATTGGAGCGTGGATCATCTGCTTTCTTAGGTGTGTGTGCCTGATTGCATCTGCGCCTGTAGTTGCATGCATATGTGCATCTGTGCGTATGTTCTTTGTCTGTATGCACATGCACACTTGCTTTGATTCTGATTTTTATGTGCCACATGCGTGAGAATATGCTATGTTGGAAAACAGAAGTGTATGGCATACGGTTCGTGTACGAGCTATATGTTACTGTACATACGCGATCCGCTGATTCCCAGTTTACAATTTAACCACACGCTTATTGCCGGTGATTGAGCGTGCCTGCGCCACAAGATTCATGCATCCGTTTGAATCGTTAACTGGGAACAAAACAGTGCATCCATTTATTCACTCAACTAGTGATTCCACTTTCATCATAATGTTTCCATACGCTTCTTGCCCCTCTGTTCAACCCTTTTCCCCTTTCATCTATCATCCTCTCTTCCTTGTCTCTCCTCACTCCCCATGTCACACAGACGTCAACCCATGCACCGCATGGGACGTGAATCCATGCGGTGCTGGCAGGTGCACTGCGGTGCGGTCAGCAGCCACCGGCACATACAGCAGCACGTGCTCGTGCCCTCTCAGCCAGCCCAGCTACAAGCTCCCCCAAATGCCCGCCTTCCAAACGTGCCACAATGGTAAGACAACGCAGCCATCACCGCCGCGTGGTGCACAAGGGTATTGACAAGGGTAAGTCCTGATTATAATCACGTCTCACCAAAGGTGTCCTGTCCTGTCCATTGCCTCAACACGAGCTCGTGCCCTTTCAGTTCAGCGAGTGCAGCTGCATTGCAACCCCCTCAAATGTTACCACATCCATAACTCGTCAACGGCTTAGATGGATTCGATTTGACACTAGGAAGGTCTTACGTCCAGAGTCAAAACGGTACGCTTTGACTCCAGACATTGGACGTACGTTTTGACCATGGACGCTGCCTGCATTATTTTTAAGGCAGCCTGAAATAAAAAACAATCTTAAGTGCACAAAAAACGGGAGGAGAGGGATAGAGCGGAAGAGAAGGGGAAGGACGGGGGGCGAGGGGAGAATAGAGAGAGGAGAAGCAAGGGGGAGAGAGAGAAGAGGCATAAGGGAGAGAGGAAGGAGAAGGGGGAAGTTGTGAAGGGTGAGAAGGGAGATGAGTCGGTGGGAAGAAGGGGAGGGGAAGAACGGGAGAGGGGGAAGGAGGAGGAGCATGTTACGGAGGCAGCGCCTTCCCTACTTCCTTACCTCCTCCCCCCACTCCCAGCCCCCCTCCCCCCCCCCCCCCTCCCCACAGTTGTTTTTTGGCTGCCCAAAGGGTTTTCCTGCTTCTAGTCGCCCATCCTCTTAACCCTGAGATTCTTCTTTATACTCCACCTTGTGATCTAGCTTACAGCTAGGCACACCAATATTCCACCGATCCCTACCTCTTGTCTTCACCTTGATTGAGTGTGGCACTGATATCAGCTAAGAGGCGTGTTCCTCAAAAGCACATTCCACACAAAATTGTAAGGCTACTTCTTTCTAGGCGCTTCAATTGAGCGCTTCTCTTCCTGTGATATCCCTATTCCCACCACACCTTTTCTCTCCATTATGTTCCACCTCCTTACCACTATCCCAGGAATCCCACCCCCCCTCATGTACCACCCTTCTTGCTGCCGCCCACTTTATGTGATTTTCCTCTACCCGTTTTGCCATCGCCCTGCTTACTCTCCCCCCGGCCCCCACTTCCCCCCATCCTGCACCCCTTGTTTACCATCTGCCCAGTCCTGTGGAAGCCCTTCGTCCAGGCCTGGCAGCCTCGCTTTCCCTCTGCTCCATGGCGTCCGCCTCTGTGCTTCTCTATTTCTGGCCCCCCTGCTTCTCTCTCCTCTCTCCCTTCCCCCCCATACCCCCCTTCCCCTCCTCTCTCCCTGTCTTCTCTCCACCAGTGAGCAATTCCGCTGCTCGAGTGCCATTCTTCCCAGCACCCCCCGGCCTCACGTGCCCTCTGCTCCTAGACATCTTTGACCTCTCGCCTCAAGAGCTGCTGGAGAGTAACAAGGTGAGGCATGGTGATGAGGTGAGGCGTGGTGATGAGGTGAGGCGTGGTGATGAGGTCAGGTGTGTTGATGAAAAAAAGCCTCTCAGTTACCCATGGGCATGCAAGTCGATAGTTTTTTCCCTACTCGTTCTCGTAATGCGGGCAACTCGAGCTTCAGATCTTCCGATTAAAACACTCTCAAGTCGAATCAAGTCTTATTCACGAGGTTGAAAGAACTCCAGAAGAACTTGTCAATCTGCTCTAGTTTTTCTTACTCGACTTTGCTAGGGGGCTTTGTTGTTTATGGGATGTCCCGGCAGAGACTGTACTGCTCCTTCAACTCTTTTAACACTCACCACATATAGATTGTTGGTGTAATGTCACGCTGTTCTCTTTTATGGATCCCTTGACAGGGCATGGCATGTGAAAAACCCATATCGCGTGGGTTGATAGTCAACGTGTCGGCTTCTGCCAACAAGAGCTGCAGCAGCATGTACAGCACCAACCAGGTGGGGCACTAGGCACGCCAAGTCTTGCTTGGTCAAGAATGTTGCTAAGGTAAGAGCGACGACCTAAAATAGCGTGACTGGTTTTGTAGATCTAGGTGTTTGGGTTTTCGAGTTCCAATGCGGCTCAAGGTGGTGTGGGGGTTGTTGTTGTGACTCTTTTTTGTGTTGGGTGTTGAATGTCGAGTTGAAATGTACGGTCTTGATTTCGTCACGTTTTAATCACAGATGTGCGACCCACTTTTCCCCCACAAAGCCCTAGCCATCAAATTGGGATTGCAAGACTCGCTTTTCCCCCGCTCACTCTCACACGCACATCCAAATCTATCTCGACCCCACCCACCCACCTCAGGGTGACAGATGCGAGCCAATCCAATCCACACTGTCACAAAGCCCAAAGGAATCATATTGGAATTTCATGACCCACATCTCCCCTTCCGCACTCACACCCATCCATCCCTCTGTCGCCCGTACCCACCCACCCCAGGGGGACACGTGCATGTCAATAGACAGCCTCCTTGCCACCAACATAACACACCTAAACCGTAACGTTAACTGCTCACAACCTCTCGTATATGGAAAGGTCAGATCACGTCTCAATCTCCTACCACAAATCCAATCCCCTTGCCTTGCAGTACACGCTCTCGTGGTTCTTTATGTAGAAGCTACCGTGGCTATGTCCATGTAGACTTCATAATTAATCAATATAATTTCTTTGTGATTCCGTACAGAATCACTTGCCTGTTTTTCGAATTAGTCAAGCAATGAAGGACAGTCTATGTTAACTCCCCCTCCCCCTCCCCCTTCCCCCTCCCCATCCTCTTACCCCTTCCCATCCCCCTCCCCCTCCCCCTCCCCCTCCCCCTCCCCCTCCCCCTCCCCCTCCCCCTCCCCCTCCACCCCCCCTCCCCCTCCCACTCCCCCGCCCCCGGCCTCGCAATGCTGTGAGCAGCGCATGTGTGTGGAGAACAGCACCAAGTTGCGCACCTACCCCGTGGCGGCGTGCATGGCGCACAAGGCTCTCGAGTCGGACCTGCACACGTGCCAGCAGGCCGCCACGTTCGGCAACGGGCGGGGGCGCATGGGCTACTCCAAGATCTTCCGCATCAACGCCGCTCTCTACTGCGACCACCTGCTGCCCGGTGCTGCTGGCTGGGACGACTCTGTTCTCAGCACGGTGCGCACTGCTGACTTGCACGTGAGGGTTAGGATCGTTCTCATACGTTGAGCGATTTTGAGCCTTTTCGAGCAGTTTTTTATTCTTTCTGGGTCCTTGTCGCCGCCCGGTGCTGTTGGCTGATCCTGCTGGTCGTTCCACTCAATGAGTGCTTACACCATGCGTACATGCTGCCTGTCCTTGCATCCAGTTCTCTCTGCAATTACGGTACACGAGCCTTGCAGGGCCCAACTCGCACTTGACATTAATCACAGTTGTCTGGTGATGGTTTTGGTGTTGATGCTGCCACACTTTTGGGGCTGCTCATAGTGATTGGCTCAAGGTTGGATTGCTGAGAACGACACTCTTGCGCCGCCGCGACACAAAGCCCATCGCATGCTGATTGATTGCGACACAAGTGTGAGAGATTCTGTGGTTTGACCCCTCCCTCTCACACCAGGTGTGTTTACTCGTGGATGAGCGGCCAGATTCAGGAGGAATTCCATGTGACACTAGTCGGTTCTACCTCGTGAGGAGGGGTGACACGTGCGGTAAACTGATCGCGTCTCGATACCAGCGGAAAGTTAACCTTTTCCGGTCACTCACTGGAGGGTATGACTGTACTGTCTCGTCGTTGTGGGTGGGCATGCAGCTGTGCTTGCCGTAAGCAAAGGAGCTGACGTGTCAGGTTAGTTGCATCACTACCGTAGTGTTCTAACCAGACTCTTACAAGATACCCCTGGCACATGGTTCATATCTCTAACCCTTAATATACTAAATGTACCATATTCTGAAAAAGGCTTAGCTAAAAAGTGTCAGAAGTAGAACAGCTGAATGAGTTGAACTAGGTAGCACCAGGGTGATACAAATAGGCAACCGTAACCTAGGCTAACCAATGTGACAGCACACATGTAACAACTACGGTACAACTTTGACACAACCCCACACCACACCACACGCTGCTGTGCCTGGTCAGCAAGAAACAGATCAGGATCAGGGCTAATTTTTGGATTTTGACTACCCTTATGTGGTACAAGGTCAAAAACCTGATTATCAGTGTGACCCCTTCTGAAAACCCTGTTACATCAGGGTTTATGTCGGTTTTCAGAAATTTACCCTGTCGCATCAGTGTTCTTAAAAGACAAACCCTGAAGAAACTGTAAGTCTGGCCTATGGTGGCCCACTTTGAGCCAGCACATGCGTTGTCAAGGCCGAAATTACGGTTTCGCCAGTTGGCAATCGGGATTCGGGAATCCCGGGTTACTGGAAAGCGGGGGTGGGGGAACTGGGGGGGTGGGGGAACTGGGGGGGGCGGGGGGGGTATGGAACTCGCTTCAGGGTAAAACTTGTTGTGGAATACGGGAACCCTTAGTCATCAGTGTGCCTAAAATGTAAACCCTGACACATCAGGGTAATATTGACTCTTAAAAAAAAATCCCTGGACCATCAGTGTTACTCCCAAAAACCACCCTGATTATCAGGGTATCAGGGTGAATTACACTGATAAAATTAGCCCTGATCAGGATGGCTCTTGTATACACAAAAGTAGCGTACTTCATATTGAGAGACACAAGCACTCCAAATGCATTTTAATCATTAATTTTACCAGTTTTCTTGGGTGCCTCAACTGTTTTGATTTTGTTAACCTGCTCCATTACTCTAACCCAATCGTCATGCTTATATCAGGCACACAAACCTACTTTCTTGCTTCGTGCTCAACGAGTCTGACATGTTGTAAGGATTTTTCTCGACATTCCTTAGCGCATCCTGCAACATCGCGTACAGCAGCAGCCGTTGTTCACCCGTTACTGCTAACGGGGCTTCGCCGACTTCGCGCGCACTGTTTCACCAAACCATGCACCGCTGGCCCGGCCGTGTCGGCCTACGCTTCGGAACTAGCCCGAGCCTCGATACCAGCCTATCACTAGCTAGCTCGCACGCACCGCGTTACCGTTTGCATGTTTCGCGTATAAATGTTCGCTCATGCCCTAGCTCACATTTTGTACTCGTTTAACACTTACCGTATGGCCCCGGATAGAAGCGCAGGCCTATTAAAAGCGCATGCGCTTCTATCTGGAGCAATGCGCTTATGGCCGATCCTCAATTATAAGCGCACACCCTGTAAAACCCTGACTTATTATAAGCGCATGTATAATATAAAAATTTGAACTTGCTTGAAACGGTAACGAATTTAGAAATTGGCAGCGAGGTCACACCAATTTCGGTTCGATTGACTCGCGAGGACTTTACACCCTGCGCGTCCAGTCAGTATGAGTTGGAATTCCTGCGCAATGACGTGTATCTGCCTCTGTGCGCCGGCAGAAAATCGCCCGCGTACGATTCTGAATTGTGACCCCCTATCATTGCGCTTCGATTGAAAATGCAAGAAGAAGATGTACAATTTGGTGCAGTAAGAATATAAATTTGTATTTTTCATATTATAAGCAGATGCGCTTATATATTTTACTCAATTATAAGCGCACCCCCCTAAAAAACACTGCTTTATTATAAGCGCAGGTGCGCTTATATCCGGGGTAATACGGTATGTGAAGAAAGCAAGCAGGAATGACTAGAAACAGGGCAGTACAAGGTTTGTATAGGCAAAACCTAACAATACTGTACCCCATAAGGAGTGCCCCACTACAGCCTACAATATAGTTCTGACACACCCCCATAGGCAAAGTGGGGGACAAGCAAGAAAACAAGACAAGGTCAAGCTCAGGGTGGATCACAACGTCACCACACAGTCTGAGCACAAGTACAAGGCCACAAGGCCAGTTCACATGCAGGAGTATAAATCAAGGTGAACAAGCAAGACAGTGAACTCAACCTAGCAAGGGTAAGCATGCAAGTGCAGGTATATATAGATCACAGTACAAGCAAAGTCAAGAGGTAAGCAAGTGAGGCCAAGTAGGCACAAGACCTAGCATAGTACAAAAGCGCTGATGATCACAAGGCTGAAGTGCCTTGGTAAAGATATCAGCAGTGTTGGCCCGAGTGGCCACGTAAGCAAGACGAAGCTGACAACGCTGCTGCAACTCTCGAGCAAGGAAGTAGCGCAGAGCAGTATGCTTCGTTCTGTGCTCCAGTCTGTGCTCCTGACACAAGGCCAGCACGGCCTTGTTGTCGACGTACAGAACTGGAGGAGAACGAGGCGCCTCTCCCAAGTCGGTCAGCAGGTAGGTGAGCCAGCGTAGCTCCTGTGCAGCCATAGCCCCAGCGTAGATCTCGGCCTCACAACTGGAGCTAAGAACAGAAGACGAGCGGGTAGACGGCCATGACACAGAGCCGGAACCAAGCCTGAAGGTGTAACCCTGTGACGACCGCTGTGTAGCCAAGTCGTCAACCCAAGAAGCGTCTCCGTGACCAGTGAGGACAACTCGAGCCCGTCCTCCAAGCACGAGCCCCATGCCCGACGTACTGCACAGGTAGCGCAACACCCTCTTAGCTGCATCCATGTGCTCTGGTCGGTGTCTCCCAGGAGCAACATAGCGTGCCAAGATGCTAAGAGGGTATGCCAGGTCAGGTCGAGTGCAGGTCATCAGGTACATGAGGCAGCCAACAAGCTCTGGGTACGGGCCAGTCGGCAATACGGACTCATCCGAAGGCAGAGCTGAGAGCAATTGGCGAGTAGACAGAGGAGTGGCCTGAGGCGAGGAGTACGTGAAGTTGAAGCGCTGAAGGACCTGCTGCACCATGTGTGACTGAGTCAAGGTAATGGTGCGGCATGCTCTGTCCCGGGTGATCTGCAAGCCAAGAGGTCTGTGCACGTGTGTCTCTTCTACTGCTCCGACTTCACATGGGTCAGTCCAGCAGTGTCAGCAGTAGCAAAGACCAAGTCGTCGACGTACACGAGGATGTAGAACGGCGGCAGAGTAGTGTCGGTGCGGAGAAACAGCGACGAAACAGCTGTGGAAGGAGCAAACCCAAGAGCCGCAAGCGTAGTCCTCAGTGTGTCGTGCCACTCGCGGGGCGCCTGGCGGAGACCGTAGACTGGCCGCCGGAGGCTCCACTGGGTACCAGGAGGAAACGACCCAGTGAAGCCAGGTGGGCGGCGCAGCCAGATCTCCTCGTGCAGGCTGCCCTGCAGGAAGGCTGTGCTGAAGTCAAGAGAGTGAAGCTCGTAGTCACGCTGAGTAGCGACGTGCAGTAGTACCCGAAGAGTGGTCATCTTCGGGGTGGGAGAGAAGGTCTGAAATTAGTCAACTCCCTGCCACTGACTGAAGCCTCGAGCCACGTAACGCGCCTTGAAGACAGGCGGAGAACCCGGCGGCCGCTTCACCCTGAAATCCACATGCCATCGACAATGTTCGCCCCAGGTGGGGGAACCTCGTCGACGTATGTGCCTGTGGACTTCTGGGAAGCCATCTCTGTGTCCATGGCTGTCTTCCACTAAGAGGAGTAGGGACCCTCTATCGCCTCTGCGTAAGAGCGCGGGGTCGGGATGTCTGGTGCATCCGGGTCTCCCTCAGGGGCAAGCAGCATGGACACGAGATGAGGTAAAGCAACAGCAAAATTCTGGAACTCCTCCTGCCTGTCCTCAAGGACGTCCGTGCTAAGAGCACACTCACCCCCGACGGACGGAGGACAGACAGACTCAGACTCAGCAACAAGACTAGCGGCGTAGTCTAGACGACAGTGAGCAGCAAAGTCGACAAGCTCAGCAACAAGAGCCGACGCAGCAGTAGACTCAAAAGAAAGGTCAGTGACAACAGTGGCAAGGAGACGCGTGACAGTAGGACGAGCAGCACGAAGGGAGTCAGACTCCGGGTCCGGACCGACAGCAAGGGAGGACGCAGGAGGAGACGGCAGAGGGACACGCTGTGGAGCAGTGGAAGGACGCAGTGCCATCTGGTGCGTGCCGGGGACAGGAGGAGGACGCTGACGCGAACCACGACGACCAGTGCGAGCAGCAAGAGCAGGCGACGCAGGACGAGACGCAGGCTCACGACGCTCAGCAAGACCTCCGGTCGGACCAGTGTAAGGAGAAGTAGCAGGCAGTGGGGAGGCGGGCTGTAACT